TGTAGATACAACAACAGGGAATCCGTTGAAGTTAGTTTCTCGTAACAGTTGTTCAATGTCACCGACAGACATTCCATCCTGGAGGATCATACAGAGTATGAGGAAGTAGAACATTGGTGCCACATTGTAACGATCAGACAAGACTTATGCTAGGCTACCTGAACTATCACAGCCAAATCATTTCGTTCCTGCTGGTTTTCCGGTGCAATGCTAGAAGGCGCAACAGCTGGACTTGGACGCATCACCTGAACACCCACGTATATTTCACAAAAGTAACCATTCGATCGTATAAAGAATCAGAGCTCTACAAAATACTCCCGAGATCAAACAAACCTGTATAGCAATGGTTGAGTAAGGATATTCTTCCTTGTTATCCAAAAATGGATAACCGTTCAGCTCAATGTGGGCATCATAAATTCCCTAAAAAAGTAGTACTAAGTAAACCCTAAGAAACAGAGAGGTGTAGAAAAAACCTTACAAAAAAAATTAATTTTTTTTGGTCGAAAATGTAAGGAAGTTGGCCACTATAAAGAAAGCACTAACGGTTTTGCAAATTGCATCGCCAATCCACTTCGAAAACATCGTAGCAACCATCGTAGGTACGATGAATTCCAAACTGCCTGTCAACTCGAACATGATAACCACAAGGGAGACAGTCATTCTGAAAAAAAAATGACGTTGGGACTTCAGCTGAACCTTGAATTTAGTGAAGGATGTGAAAAAGAGAGACAAGCTGACCTGGTGACGCCACCTAATACCGCCGCAGCGCCCACCATGGCGTACAGTCCGGGCATAACGCAGTCCTTCCCAATTTGGCAAGACCAATAGGATGAATGGCCACCTTGAGTCTGTAAAAGAAGCAGAAAATAATGTTGGCAAAAAGAAACCGTGTTCAGCTGCTGTACCGTTTTCAAACATGCTCCTAATAAGTGTAACATTACCTGAAAGCTTTGGAAGATACCTTCCATGCTCATTCCCACAAGTCGTCCAGCAATAGCACCCATTGCAATCGAAGGTACAAACAAACCGCATGGGACCTAAAGAACAGAACAGCTTTTCAAATTATAATCTGTTGAATCTTCATTCATTTGACTTACTTTGATGCCGAATGTGAAAATCGTGAAAATAAACTTGAAAATAAGCGCCATTATTAATTGCCAAAAAGCACTCTGCAAAAACAAGAATCGATAACTAATGGAAAACATAAACAAAAATGAAAAACTCACTTGAACTCCACTTCCAAAAACACCGGTGTGATAATTGTCATCAACTTTATTAGATGTAAAGGTTTTGTTCTGGTAATCACAAAGATTCAACATATAATCCTCGGGACCACATCTGTCGAAAAGCTGCAAAGAATCTTTTTTCTGTAAAACCAGGTTACAAGCATGGAAATAACTCAAGGCAATACGAGAGCATTGCATTTCGAAGATGACTCGAGCTAGATTCAATTTCAATTGATTTCATAACAACTTAACGACACCTTTCCTCCCGAGCCCAACAGAGAAGGATTGGTTCACACTGAACTAATTTATGGTGGTGACAAGGCCATGCCCAAGGATCGAAATCATCACTGAGCGGTGATGATATGTTAGAAATACCGCTTCTTGCTGCCTCTTCTGATATATCGTCTCATATTTCGAAAAGGAGCCACCGCTGGCAGCGCACATACAAATAAAATTGATCGGCACTAAAAACCCATCCTCTTCCTTCCGTAATTCTAGGCCTTGGAATGCAGCAATGTGGGATCACAGAGGTTGCACATTAACGAAAGTTCCAGATATAAACAAGAGAAGGTTCTCATACAATATTTCAAATCCACAGAGTGAAAACAATCACAAACCTGCTTTATCATGCTCGAAGCACTTTTCCTCATGTAAGGATTGAAGTACGAGATGGCTGCAGTAAGAAAAGTCACAACAATGACCTCGTAAATTGGATTACCGCCAAGAGTTTTCGATGTTTTACGGAAGCGAGACCACCTCAAAAAGAAAATCTTATAGGAAAACACGATGGCCTTGTCAAATAAACATATGAACACGTCTTTTGTAAAGCAACTAATAGCCACCAACGGAAATCACTTACCTTATATTACCGAAAATGAATAGACTGCCGAGAATACCTCCAAATAGACCTAAGCCTGCAAAAGGAATAAGCTCCACGAATGTCCATTTCATCATATAATCCACATGGAACAGCGATGTCTGGAAATCAAAGAGAAGGGTTCTCTCCAAAACAACCGAATCTCCGCGTTCACTACCGAGCAAAGAAATCAACAAATTATTAATAAACCAAGAGTTTATTGAACTTGCATAAATCCATACCTGATCACTGCCAAATGGATTCACGATTCGTAGAATGATTCCGGCCACGAGGGCGCAAAAGAATGATCGCCACATTGTTTTCAGCGGGAAATAGTACGACGCCTCTTCCAGACTGCAAATAGCATATTAAATGAATGAAGCTTGAACCGAATAAGA